ATAATGGGATGTTTGACATCAAATTCCACTGGAGCTTTCTCAATACGTCCTCCAGCACGTAAAATTCCATTCACCAACATTGGTGTTAATTTCCGCAAAATGTTTCTGGTTGACAGTCTTTTTCCAGCATCAATACATTCATCAGGAGATTTTGCCAATTTATCTATGATTTCACCAAAGGGACTGCCTTTGTACATACATAATTAGAGCAAATTCACTTCTCTTCAGTTCATCAACATACAGTGGTCCTTTGTGTAGGTTTTCCCCACTTTTTTTACTTCTTAAAAATGAAATGAATCGCAAAATCCAAGCAGTCGCCTTTTTCAGCGAATGCAAATCAGAAAACTGCTCCACAAGTCGATCAGTAGCACTTCGATCTGTTAACATGCAAACCGGTTTTTGCAATTGTTTTACAAGCTGAAATTCATGAGGCAGTGGAGGCAACGACACAGGCAGAGGCCATTGCTCAGCATCTTTCCACAAAAATTCAGGCCCACTGAGCCATCAGCTTTTCGTGGCCATCTTCTTTACACTGATACCCCGCGATGCTTCATCAGCTGGATTCTGCTTTGTAGCTACGTAACGCCATTGTGACACTTTTGATTCACTTTCAATCTTGGCTAAGCGGTTTGCCACAAAAACTGGAAAGCGCTTATTGCAATTTCTTATATTTTGCAAAACTGCAGTTGAATCTGTCCAGAAAATAGATTCACATTCATTACTTAGATGAAGTTCACGTCTCAACATCTGGTCTATTTTCACTGATGAAACTGCAGCAGTCAGTTCAAGTCTTGGTATGGAAATTGCTTTCAATGGTGTCACTCTGGCTTTGCCAAAAAGAAATGCACAATGTATATCTTGATTTTCATTAACCAGGCGTAAATATGCCACTGCGCCATAAGCAACCAAGGAAGCATCTGCAAAATGATGTATTTGCATCCCTACAACTCTTCCAAATCCATTGGGCTTTACACATCGATTGATAGTAATATCTTTTAAAGCACTCAGCTGCTCAAGCAACTTTGCCCATTTTGCAACGTCACAATCAGGAATAGGCTCATCCCATCCAAGACGTTTTCTACATAAATCCTGTTGCATGATTTTTGCAACTATCACCACCACTGCTACAAAGCCTAGTGGTTCGTATAACGAACTAACAAGCGATAGAGTAGTTCTTTTGGTCATCACATCAGGTGCTGTATTGAAACCAAATGAGTCAAGACTGACTTTCCAATAAACACCAAAAACACGATCAGACAGTGTTTCATCAAACTTCAAATTCAATATAGACTTGGCCTTCTCATCCTCGGGAATACTATTCAGTATTTTTCCACTGTTACTAAGCCACTTTGTTAGTTTGAATCCACCTTTTTTCAATATTTCAGTAAGCTGTTGTTTCATTCTTAGGCCATCATTTTCAGAACACACAGATTTTAACAAATCATCCACATAAAAATCTTGTTCAATGGCTTCGATAACATCAGTGTCAAACTCCCCTCCAAAGTCCTGGGCGACTCTTTTCAGACAAAAGTTAGCAACAGTGGGTGAACTCTTACAGCCGAACAAATGTACAGTCATTCTATGATCAATAGACTCCTTTGACATATCTCCACCAGGCCACCACAAGAATCTAAGAGCATCTCTGTCTTTCGGATCAACATGAATCTGATGAAACATCGCCTCTATGTCTGCTACTAGAGCAATCCGCTTCTGGCGGAATCTCATAAGAACACCGGTTAATGAGTTTGCCAAATCTGGTCCACTCAATAGAGACCCATTTAATGAGTAGCCACGTTACTGACATGCTCCATCAAATACAACTCTTTGTTTTAGTTTTTGTCGATGTACAACACAAAAATGAGGAATATACCATCATCTGATTGCACTCTTTCAAATTGCATGTTTTCACCTTTTCTGCATAGCCTTTCGCTATGTAATCTTTAACTATTTCTACATATTTCAAACGTAGATCATCATTGCGAACCAGTTTTCGCTTAAGGCTTGACAATCGAGACATAGCCAAATCACGATTATTTGGCAAAGTTCCAGCATGAGGACGCCACAATAGAGGTAATTGATAGTGACCATTTTCGAATTTAATTGCCTCATGCATCAAATTAAGAGCATACCTATTTTCTCGAGACATATTTTATGAATTAATAAAATCTGTTTTCCACATTCTCTCAAGTTGCATTTGCAGCAAGTCATTTTCATCATTTTTCATAAAATTGACATTGAAAGATAACAATTCTGACCTTTCAATTTTTGGACCAATCAATGTCCAACCAAATGGAGTTTTCCAAGCTATAGGCTGTCTTGGACGACCTTGTCTCACGTCTTGTATACAAAAAGCTTCCGGTACATTGGCACCAATCAATAGTAGTACTTCACCATTGTCAACGTTAGATAAATTCAATCCTCTTAGATGTGCCATTCTGTTCTTGTCATTCATTGATAACGAAGCATTTGCTTTCACAGGTAATTTGTCAATTGAAAACACTTCAGGCAAATCCATAACTTTCTTGCCATCACAAGATTCAACCCGCAATTGAACTTTTGACCCCCCATGAATCTTTGACTCACCATTCACAGTTAATGAAATATCAGTTAGCTCCCGCTTTAATCCAAGCATGTCAATCAGTTTGTCTGAGCACAATGTTATTGCTGAGCCAACATCTAAAAATGCATATGTCTTCACTTCTCGGTCATTACCGGATACCTTCTTAGGCACAATACAAAAATACACATACCTATTACTTTCTGTGGCCTGACACAAGCTTGATTTTGGCATGGAAGCTGGAGAAATGTTTTCTTTTTCACCATGAGTAGACTGTTCTTGATCAGGTTCATTATTTTCCTGAAATGAACGATGAATAAGTCTGTTATGCTTTGCAATGCATCCATCCACTCCACATGAAAGCTTAGATCTGCACATACTGGCAACATGTCCATATTTCAGACAAATATAGCAAAGTCGACGTGCCCTCATAAATTTAATTCGCTCCACAATCGGCTTCTTCTTGAACTTTTCACATTTTGACAGATCATGAGGCATCGAACAATACATGCATTTAGTTCTTGTATGCTCACCTGAAGATTATTTTCTGATACATTTTCGGTGACATTGTGTGCCATTGTTCTAATTCAAGAAGTTTTCATTGGTTTCTCAACAACACTCACATAATCATCCATCATTTGACTAAAGGATGAATTGACTGCAGTTTCTTCTTCAGTCACAAACTCAATGAAATCTTGGAAAGATGGTTCTTCATCTCTCGCTATTATCTTCCCCACTCTACGTTTCCAAGCCATTCTCATACTAGGAAATAGGCGATTTGATGCTCTAGCCAAAATTTGTAGATTGTCCATTTCATTCTCTTTGTTTATGCCTTTCAAAGTGAGTTTTCAATTTTCCAATGTGCGAACAAATTCTTTAAGCTTTTCATGGTAATTGAATTTTGTCTGTGGTCCATCAACCACCTTTTTCACACATGAATGAACTACCTCATGAGTTCTACCATAATTCTTCTCTAGCAGTTTAATTGCTTTTTGGTATCCTTCCTCTGGATCAAGCTTGGCACATGACTGAATGAGCTTTCATGCTTCTCCGGTACAATGCTGAAATAGATATGACAATCTGGCAGCATAACTATCAACATTTTCATCAATTTGAGCAGCAAAATTACGCTTAAACATAGGATAATTCGTGGAATCACCAGAAAAATATAAAACTTCAGGTTTTGGCCTATCCAAATGCTTGATTAATGTCATAACATCATTTGACAATATTTGAAAAAAATCCGGTGGCCTACCACTGCCCAGTTGACAAGTCTTGTTAACACTTGCCTGATCATGGTTATTTGTAACCACTGACTGATTTGGAATATACATAGCAGGAATTCTATTGTCCTGATTTCCATCTTCAAATTTGCTTGGAACAAGCAAATCCAACACTCGAGGCACTACAGGGCCATTTACCCCAGCACTCGGTTTATCATCTAGTACAGATTTTGATTCAGTATTGACAGGATAATCTTCAACAGCCATTGCCAGAGTACCGGCATCAATTTTGCCCACAGCACAGCCAACGTTAGACTGTGCATAAACAGGTGTACTCTGCACAAGATGTAAGCTTTCACATGTGGTTTTGTTGGCTACCATGCCAACTTCTAGCACTTTTCTATTGGCCTTCTCTGAACCCACATGTCTCACATCCTTCGAAAAACGATTATCCGTGACATCAACATTCATTCGATCTGAACTAGTGGACTGCTCCCAAAACTCTTCTTCGGCATCAGCCGTTTGAACTTTGTGTTCCGAATCCAACATTTCTATTGATTGATAGATTTTATTTATTCTGTTTTCAAGCTCATGTTTACGTTTAATCTTTTCAAGTTCCAATCGAGCCAATTTAGCTTTTACTTTAGCTTCTGCTCTTCGATAACTCGATCGTGAACTTGCACTTGAAGGACGACTAGACTGTGTTGATTTCTCCAATTGAGAAAACTGATCCGCTGCTGCTTTGATTACAGCCAAGAGCCATTGCTGCACTCTACCATCAAATTCTGCCTGATTCTATTTAATACTTTCCATCCAATTTGCATTGTGCTCAAAAATTGCAGATGGATTCTCACTACAGAATTACATGAGTGCTTGAAATGTTTCAGAAACGTGCTTCGACAATTCCTGAACAGAAACAGCATTTTTGCGATCCATCATAAGTGATTCAACCCTTAAATACAAGTGTTTAAGTCGACCTTCCAATACTTCAAAAATTAAACGTTGACTGGAGTCTGAACTTGACATCTTCAAAAAGTTATGTTGTTGCTTTGTTCGATAATTAGATCTTGTCCAGAACTATATTTTTTATTCTTGTAAGCTTTACGATGTCGATAATTCATATATTATCGAAAACTTTATGTAACCTCCCTTTCAACGTGACCCGGTAGCACAAGGTGTCACATAGAGAAAACTAACAAATCGAAAACGCATCTCCCAAATCCTTGTCCAAACACAACCAATTGTTGAAAACTTGTAATGAAATTGTAATTCGAAGAATTGATAGCATAACATGAAATGCTCAGCAATACACAAACATCACAATAGACGGAAATGAAAGATGGAAGACGGTTTTCTAAAACAAAATAACATGTCTTAGAACACTTATAAAACTAAATAATACCAAATTCAGCAATGATCCAAATATAAATAACATACCGATAATATTTATGACACCGGGTAAGAAAACTTTGTGAATCCACGAGAATACTTCACAATCTGTTAACAATGACAATATTTAATACACATACATCAGTGAACTTCAAATTATGCAACTTAAAATACTAGCATTCTTACCCAAAAATTATTGCATAATACATTCTGGAAACATCAGTACACTTTCTTCACAGTAACAAATGTACGGTACAATATCTTAACACCAAGGGCAACAACCCAATAAAATCCAGTTACTAACTAATTTAGATGTCTAAGTCATCTAAAAGATAAACACAATAAACAGCAATAATTAAATCACAATAACACCAACACAAAGAAACTTGATTTGGCAGCAAAACTTGGCTGCCAAAATCTCGCAAGTATGGTGCAATATCCATTAATGGCGGCGAACTCGACTCAACAGCGTCTACATGTGGCAGCAATGTTATTGCCATACAATAATACTTGGATCTTGTGGATCGTGGCGTAACAGGGGGTATGCAACTAAAAAGATCGTAACCTAGTACCGGACTCACAGAACATAAGAAAAAAGTAGCTTAGGCCCTAGGTTACGATAATCGGGTAGAATATTGCAGTATTGAGGTGTTTCATAGAACGCCAAGTTACCTTTACCTTCGTTGTCTTGAGGGGGAAACTACTATTTGAAGCCAAAGGTAAATCTAATCTATCTTTGATTAAACTAAAGAGACAGAGCTTAAGATGAACAACCGGCATTTGATATTTTATCCACATTAAAGTACTGAACCAACCTAATGAAATAACATAGGCTGCTGAGCTAATAATATACAGCGAGATATTTTGTGCACCGTCTTCACCAACGACTAACACACCGTCTTCATCAATCCCCGAGCAAATCAAGTGACCGCATTGGAGCGTGACGCTGCAGAAACTCGTAACGCGAATAACTTTGTTTGTTTTATTAATGTGGGCGTGGCTTTCTAGGCTAGTTTCATCCCCCTGATTACACTATACTATTATTACTATACTGTTTGAGTATTCTGGGCAATTTCGAATTTGAAATAACTGAAAACTCAAGATATCATAATTAATACACAAAAGTAAAATATACATTAAAAAACCTATTATTTGAGAAGACAACATGATCGTACAATACCGCCAAAACCCTGATGTTCGCCGTGAGATGATAAATAAATACTTCCCCTGTATTCGATCAATCAACTTTAGCCAATCGTTGTTCCGCAAACAAACAGCCGGGTGCAAAATATTTCCGTCCAGTGATATGTTCACAAGTATTCTCGGCATTAATATCATAACCTCGCATGTAGGACTGGGCAAAATATTCGAAATATTCGTATCGTTTCAGTTCCATACTTTGGCAAAAAAGGTATCAACACAGCTCCCTAATTTTAGAAGCGTCAAAATAAATAGACTATTCAAAATTTTTAAACTCCGTTTCATGCATGCACTTCCGCACATAAAATTGATTATCGAAAATTAAAAGTTAAATTGACGTTTCCGAGAGACTATGGTGGACAATCGTTGTCACGCTTAAAATTGAAAAAAAATAAAAATAAAAATAAAAAACTTAAAATGACAGTAAAATAAAAAAATAGTTGTGAAAAAACATAAAAAAAAATGAAAAAAAAAATGAAAAAAAAATAAAAATAATATGAAAAAAAATTAAGAATAAAAATGAAAATAAAATGAAAACGAAATTATAAAAAAAAAAATTGAAAAAAAAACGTGAATAAAAAAAAATACAAAGGTTGACAACGATGGGCCGCCTCGTGGCCCATCGTTGTCACGCGTTTTTATTTTGAGAAAATTTGCTTCGGCTTGGGACCAACGTTGTCATGCATAATCCTACGCGCACAAACAGTGTTTCCTGGGTTTCTAACTCACTACTCATTTTCTTGAGCAATATTCAATAAATTCAAAACGGAAATGTTCTATAAATTCTCCATGCTACAAGTTCAACTAGAAGTAATATATTTAAAATAATGATAAGAGAATATAGAAGTGAGTACGAAAATTCAGGAAATTTGTTTTTACGTGTAGAAGGTAATTGAATTGGAGAATGCTGCTCAGCTGTCCGGACACTCTTGCGATACCGGTACCGTCTGACCGTACCTGTACCTATGCAATCACTCATGAAACGAATGGGAGATACGGATAGTCTAGCTAGTAGAATACAGTGAATCGAGGGATGGATTGAGCGCAGCCAGTTACAGGTTGTGCGTAATATTATTTACCAGCATGGTACCGGTTATTGTAATTGTCATGAGGGTACGGTACCGGTAACCTACGATACAGCCAATGGCGCGTCAAACTTTTTTGCTGATAATGGTGCTCCTTAAACCTAACTTCAAAATAATTTTTTGGGGATAAATAAATTATAAGTTAGATGTTGTTATAGACAGATAGACTACCTACCGTGCGTGAGACTAAAGAAATTCAAGTACCGTAATAGTTGAATGTTTGAACATCAATATTCAAATTAACCAACAAACTCACTATTGTGTTACATGTCTGCATGTCTGATGTGATAATCAGTAGACAACAAACAGGCTAGAATATTATGGCAATGTCCAAGGCCTAATGGTTTCATATCAAGAGTGAATATACTACTTTAACATGTTGATTGTTTATTTAAAAGACTTATTTAAAAGACAGATATACCGGCACCGGTACATTTGAGATCATATCTAAAAATGTCTGACGAGTGGAAACATGATGAGCAGTTGGAAGCTGCGGTGAAGAGTTACGTTAAAGACGGATTAAAAAGACAAGAAATGCCTAATTTTCTAAGAAGAGACAATGCGTGATATGGCTGGAGCTTGAGTACTTTGGATTGATTGTCAGCAATATTTCAAAATATATTATATTGACCACCATGTCAATGACAAACTCAGGGAACCCCGTTTGTGCGCGTAGGATTATGCATGACAACGTTGGTCCCAAGCAGAAGCAAATTTTCTCAAAATAAAAACGCGTGACAACGATGGGCCACGAGGCTGCCCATCGTTGTCAACCTTTGTATTTTATTTTTATTCACGTTTTTTTTTTTTATAATTTCGTTTTTATTTTATTTTCGTTTTTATTTTGAATTTTTTTTTTGCATTTAATTTTAATTTTTTTAATGTTTTTTCACAACCATTTTTTTATTTTACTTTTATTTTGAGTTTTACATTTTATTCTTTATTTTTTTTGTTTAATTTTAAGCGTGATAACGATGGGCCACCATAGACCACACATGGTATAACACGTACAAGCTATATCCAGAGAAAAAATGACAGGTCATAATCCTTTTAATGTGCTTCCAATTAGCTCTTTAGTGATCCCTCCATCCTTGGCCAAGAAATGTTTCGAAAATTTCTACTCAGCCATGCATGGCGGGTGGAGTATCGAGAACAAGAGTAAAATATAACGTAAAATCAATCGTGCATTTTGATGTAACAACGCACACTGTTTCGTTCACGAATTGCGCCTATTATCATCGGAAATGATTACATTCATTATATTTTGAGTATTTTTTTCACTAATAATCAGGGCGTGACATTATCAAAATCTTCAAGGAGCTGGTGAATTTGCAGATTCCGTAAATAAATTTGTGAATTACTGGGTAACATTTTAGCTATAAATATCTCCGGGGTATTGTTTTGTTAAAAAAAAATCGTTGAATCCAAGGAATTAGTTACAATTAGCGCCTGTCCCTCTATTAGGCACAAAAGCACTCGAGCCCAATCTTTTTAGCATTAAGTCGCATATGTAAAATATCCTTTGAGAAGTGCTGTCTATTAACGTCATCTCGTCTTATGAACACGCAGAAATGCCTTTATTGCCAAATTATTTAATCACTATTTTAAATCAACATTCAGGATTAGCACAATCTCAGATTGTTGAGGTTTATTTGTAAAATAATACATACACCATAGAAAAGCATAAGAGAGTAAATTATCGTCAAACCTGGTCCAGACTAGCAATCAAGCCCAATTTTGTATACCCATTTGCCATTTTTATTCATGTCATACGACCCCCAAAATTTACCCAATATACAACGCTTTTGTGAATTAACTGTTTTCGGTGAGGCATCTGCGATCAAACGACTCGATATTTTTATAATTTTCTGACGTTGTGAGATGGCCACTCTCCTATATTATGTAGCATATAAAATGAACTTTAAAATACGACCTTATCATACTAGCTTTTGGTATTGGTTTGCGCGCAACGCCAAGGTTTATTGAATTGTTTTCTTGTTGTGCGACGTTTTTTTATCGCAGCGGAAAGTACACGCGTGAAATGTAAGCGATATTTTATTACTTCCAAATGTCATATAACGTTCATTCTTATATTGCTGGGTAGGAAATGAAATATTTTTTCAAACAAGAACATAACAAACATTACAGACATCATGGTTTACACACAGCATTGCAAAACGTCTGAAATTGCGCAACCATTAAATAAAATTGGGGCGGTAAATTTAAAAATCTTGATAGGTAATATTGAAGCCAACAATTAGTCCTTAATGTATTTAACAGCTGTTGCCGATGTAAACGCACGGGTAAACCCGAAATATGGAACTTCTATGTCCGCCGACCCGCAAGAATTCATACTTGCAAAAAAGAGAAAGGGCGGGAATATAGATTACCAAATTCATGATATCACCGCCAAAACGATTGCGGTGACAAAAACAATTAGCGATTATAACGAAATTAGTCAGTAAAAAGACTTTGTTGCCGACTTTTTAATGTTTCCACCGACGTTCTAGACTTCTGTTGTGTAAATAAAATATTCGTTATTCGACTATTCGGTACTCGTTAAAATATTCGATTTGAAAAAACATTGAATTTTGCCCACCACTACTCGTATATCAATGAGAAATAGTTGCGTTTGATTTTTGACTCTGGTCTGAGTTTGATTTATTATGAGTGACTAGATAATATTAATTAAATAATAAAAATAATTAGTATAGCCTTAACGTGTGGTCGATGTTTCCCCTATCTTGGAACTCAGGAAACTTCTCCCTATACCTTACCAATATAACAATTTTCAGGCTTATTACTTATCGATTTTAATCGATAAGTATGTTGATAGGTATTTGTCTGTCTGTTTGTCTGTCTGTCTGTTTGTCTGTCTGTGTGTATGTCTGTTAGATGCACGCGATATCTCACGAAAGCGAGATTGAATCTGCTCCAGATTTTGCATGTGCATTCATCATATTTCGGACCAAAAGCCGATTCACTTTGGGCGAATTATTTTGTATAATTAGCGAGTTATTAATTAATTAGCGAT